CTATATATATATGACATATCTTTATATTTATACATCTATATATATATAGTATACATATATATATTGAATATTTGTACATATATATTGAATATTTTTATCATTATTTTCAATTCCATGATATTATTCGTATCGTTAATATCATAGGATAATAAAGTTTTTATCATTATTTTCATCGATATGGTATCATTATTGCTACGTACTTTTACTTTACATATACGGGTTCGATATAAGTGTGAACACTACTTTAGAATATACCGTGTCCGAACTGGCGGGGGCAAGTATCGTCGGTCGAGTAGTGTTATATCTCGTTGAAGATCAGAAAGTCACGTGCAAATATAAAGGATTTGTTTTTATTCAATATCTATATTTGTGCATACTGATACCTTTGATCTTCGCACGTCGTATAGCCAGTCCCGATATTCCATCTTTGCGTAACTCTTCTCTATTTTATTCATAGGCCTGCGATCTGTGCCGTAGGTATAGTAAGGACTCCAGTGCGTCGGTGCAACCGTGCGATCTATATTATAGTAAAACGTGAAGCTTATGTCAATCACAGTATAACGTTCTTTCCATACAAACCGTGCGACTACCAGGATTGTCGCTCTGATGCGCTTTGTGGGCGTACGTTTTGTGCACAATCCGTATTCTGGCTTCCGAAACAGAGAAAGATTTGTTTTCAATGGTGATATGAATAGGCACGCCTGGTGACGTTCAATCATCAGCTATTTGCACACACACCTCAGAAATAGAATTGATCGAAAATATATGCGTCACTGATAACAATAACAGCTAATGGCACATAAATCATACCTACATCGATCCGATCACTTGATATTACGTACCTATGAATTCGATCCAGCGGCAGAACTCGGTGTTGCTGGTAATTCCAGTTCCTTGAGCTTCGCACAAATGTACATGGATATCCTTCGCAGAGAAAGCCGGTAAAAAAGGCCTAATCAGCGCGAATATCTTGCCAGTTGTCTCCCTACCGCCCTCTCTCGGTATCTTCATGATCCATGACCTGATTTTGTCCAGTTGCAACCTCAATTCCCTCTTCTCCAGCATGAGTTCTAACTGTAATGCCAGCGGTTTGACTGTGAAGTGCTTGTCCGAGCCATTAATCTTCATCGCACATACACCGGGTGGCAAGCTAATGGTTTGTCTCCGGCCCATACTTTTGGGTATACGAATGTGCTGTAAGGAAATCTGTCGGAAGTAGAAACGCGACTGCGCAACCTTCTCCGTAGTTTGATTTGGTACTAGCATCTTGAGATTTGCGGATTGGGTTATTGTTCGAACTGAAAGGCTGTAGGCTCAGTGACCCCTTAGCTCTATGTGCAATGACTTTATATACAAAGTTTGCTCGCCAACAATTGATATCATAATATGAGCTCTAAATTCGCTGAAAGCATATGATTTTAGCCGACTACATAATGATGAGCCAGATGATACACGTGAAAGACCAAAGGCCACAGCCACAGGATTTATTATTTTATACCCCTGCTGGCTGCTGCCGGGAATTAAAAAAATACATATGTGTAGCGGGAGGCTATGTGTTGTACAATGCTACAATACATGCTTCATAGTGGAAATAAAAAGCTGGCTATCATTTCATTGGGTCAGAGTTTTGGCGCCATCTACATTTTAAAAATATCCACCAGAGGCATGGCCTGAAGCTGATGGTCAGTGATGGAGTGATGGCTGATGGAAGTGATGGAGTGATGGGCCTCTGGAAATGTCTGGTCAAACTGCAATTTTTCAATTTTCGCCACAAACAGCAAGTTCTCTCTGACACTGCCGTTTGTCGGAATTACCCTTTGACCGCATCATCATCTTCTAATAGAGGGCCGTGCAAGAGGTTCACGACCACGCAATGCACGGATATGTAAATAAATACTAGAAGGGTATGTAGAAATAGTGTTAAGAATGTATGCTAATGACAACATGAAATAAATAGAACTATCCCTATGTTCCACGTGTACATATTGATTTTCATTAGCTTTCGGTCTTTTAAAAATGTAATCAAATTATGCTGACTGATTTGGAAGCAACCTCGGGTATTTAGTGCTAAGCGATTGAAAAAAGAGAAGCGGGAGATATTAGTACAACTTGTGTAAATATTCAATATCGCTAAAGGTGGCATGATGTTAGTTGAAGAACGATGTATGAACATGAGTATATCAATACCTAATAGTTGAGACTATAAGTTGACTGTTGCGCAACGCGAACCGAACCCGTGTGAAGATTGTGGGAAGTGTTTTCTTTGACACGTAAGCCAGACTTCAAAGAGACGAAGTGACAATTGGTAAAAACATTTGAAAAGGATGGTATCAAGTGTATTATTCCCAAATATCACTGTGAATGTAGCTACATCGAACGATATTGGGGTTCTGTAATGACATATTGCCGGAAGAGTTGCTTATACAACTATGATGGTCTAAAACGGGTACTTATCGATAATTTAAACAGCATTCCATTGGCAAGAACCCGACGCTCTGCACGGCATTCATATATATATATATATATATATATATATGTGTACTCATGAAGAGATTGACGCGCATTGCTGTCGCCTTTGCACAGAGAAAATATACATCACACAGACGGATGCCCAATAGAGTATATCTGAGTATATTTGGATCAATTTTTAAAAATAGAGAAATATTGTAAAGAATAAACTCGAAAATCACAAGATAAATACACGCCCTGAAACCTATGGACATGGGGGTCTCAAATCCGAAGAATTTGAGGGCATTTGCGCACTCCAACGCCTTCATATAGGCTAAAAGGGATCATTTATGGACAATGGCATATTTTGAAAAGTCAAATTTTGAAATACGGATCGGATCAAAAATCCAAAGACTCGTTTGTTCTGGACGATGGGATAAGTTCAAAACCGTCGAGAAATCCCGATTTGAGTATATGTTTGTCAATTCATGTGGTATGTACTGAACTAACTTGGGGTCCCGCTTGATTGTATGCACCATACAATAAAAGGTAGCTCTAGTTAGTCTGTGGACCTTCCAAAGCTGCGATATGAACTTACAGTCTTATTGCGCTCTCTCAAAATTCTTTAATGTTTACAACTGGATACGGACTACGTACGTGCACGACTTCCAGCCGAGGTTGTCGACGCATAGTGACATAGTTATCTAACAACATGCTAAGTCTGTCCAACAACTGGACAGTATGCAAGCCGACCCCTCCACATACTTTCTCTCAATAGAGCCACACTGCTAGTATATATGCCACAGCCGAAACCATACACCATTTCCGGTCCCGTCGGTATACGCCCATATACATTCCCAAGTACAATGGCGTAGCCATCCCCGTGTGTTTTCCCTTATATCATTTCATATTCCGGCTATTTTTGGCCCGGCACTCTTCGCGAGGGATGAATGAAGCCCTGGTCTGGGATCTTGGGTGATTCAGGTGCTGGTTGGGCGGGCGGGGGTGGTAGCTGTGCAGCTGGGTCAGCTGGTGGTAGTGGTGCACTTTCACTACTGTCAGTCTGTAGCTGAGGCTGGCCGAAGCTCTGGTTGCCTGGGGCAAGGTTACCATGGTGACGGGAGCTAGAGTAAGAGCCGTAGCCGCCGGTCTGACTGCTGGTGGTGCTGGTTTTGTCGTATCCTCCCTGTGATGATGTGTGGGGCTGTGCTTGTTGTCCATAGCTACTGCCTGCTTATTGTGTTGTGGAGAGGCGAATGGTTATTATGATTTCCAACTCGTCCGTGGCGAAATCAAACGAAGAGTATTACGGATAAGGATACAAGATACATGTGAAGTAGATTGGAAGAAGAGTATTACAGATAAGGATACAAGATACATGTGAAGTAGATCGGAAGAAGAGTATTACAGATAAGGATACAAGATACATGTAAAATAAATCGGAAAAAGAGTACAATGGATAAGGAGATAAGACACATGTGAAGCCCAGGTGGGAGTCTAGCTCGAAAGTATGAATTGAGAGGAATACATCTCATTCCACACGGAATAGATACTTCAGTCAATGTTACTCTACCAATTCACCACCGAACACAGCACAACGACACAAACCACCCCAGCCGTACAATAATAACGTACCTCGGCTGGAGTGGTTGTCCTGTCTGCACACAACACAACACAACAACACAAACAACCCCAGCCGTACAATAATAACGTACCTCGGCTGGAATAGTCGTCCTGTCTGCCTCGGCCACCATCGTATCTGTCGTTCCGGTCACTCCTGCCATCATGCCTGCGACTGTCATGTCTACCGCTGTCATGTCTACCGCCGTCATGCCTACCGCTATCATGTCTGCTGCCCTCGTATCTTGATGCATCACGCCTGTCCCCGTCGTTTCGGACACTTCGCCCAGTGGCCTCAGCGCCCCACCGCGACGGCTTCTTCTCGCGCTCGCCGCGATCAGCGCCGCGCTCGCTATAGCGTTCACCACGCTCGTCACGCTCGTTTCGGCGTTCATTGCGATCGTTGCGATCGTTGCGGTCACTGCGATCGTGGTCGCGACGTCCGCGGTCATCGTGTCGATCGTCGCGGCGCTCGTCTCGCCTGTCGTCTCGGCCACCGCTGTAGATAGGTGATGTACGCCAGTATGAGTATACGTGTATGAATATGGATGTGTACGTGTGTGAGAAAGATGTGCAGCGATTGACCCCTGGGGAATGGGAAGTACACATGCATGCGGATAGATAAATGTGTGTGTACTGATACGTGACTATATAGATGGACATGTTTAGGTACACAGTGTATTCAGTGTATGATACACTCACAAGTGCATGCATGACAACACCAACCACAGGTGAGAGCACATGCACACAAGACACCCACTTACATATCGGTCGGCTGTCCAGGGGTCTGCGGCGGAGGAGGAGGCTGTCTGCCGTTTGCATACGATGACTGTAGAACGAATATGAGAAAGCAATGATACAGATTAGATAAGGATGCTATGATGGATCGTGGGCGTGAGCGTGGGCGTTGTGTATTGGGGATGAGCATACTAATAGCACAAACGACACGCATATACATGTATACATACAATACAGCAAATATACACACCCATACATGAATATATACTAATAGCACAAACGACACGCACATACATGCATACATACAATACAGCAAATACACACACCCATACATGTATATATACTAATAGCACAAACGTAACACACATACATGCATACATGCAATGCAGCAAATACACACACCCACACACACCCAACCAGTTACCATTCCAACAACCATTCTCCCGTACTTACGTGATGTGAGTTCGAATAACCATCTCCGTGGCCATTACGCGAACGGTGTGACGATGAATCGTGCGCGTGTGCGTGCGCGTTGCTGGCGTGTTGTAATTCACGGTGTGCATTGGGGTCCTTGTTGAAGTTGGTCTTGAAGTAGCCAACCAACTTCTCGAATGTGCTGAACACCAGTCCTCTGTACTTGAACCCGTCGGGGGTCAGGTTCACGGACTGTGGGTGGGCAAGTGCGGTAGGCATAAGTGGTAGGTAGTAGAATATGCACCTGAGATGGGAAGCACATATAGTTGGGAAAGGACGTTATCTATATTTGTAGTAGGTACGTACAGACTTATCAAGAGTGCTCAACGGGACCCTTCAGTGTTCGACACCCACAAATGAGATACACCGCCTGTCAGGGCAGCAGATACAACTGTCAAGCGAGAGCAGCCCAAACCAAAACAGTACATACGTGCACACACATACACGGGTCTTAAGTAGTAAGACTAACGGGTACACACGTACACGGGTCTCAAGTAGTAAGCCTAACGTGTACACACGTACACGGGTCTTAAGTAGTAAGACTAACGTGTACACGCGTACACGGGTCATAAGTAGTAAGACTAACGTGTACACACGTACACGGGTCTTACGTAGCAAGACTAACGTGTACACACGTTCACGGGTCTTACGTAGTAAGACTAACGGGTACACACGTTCACGGGTCTTACGTAGTAAGACTAACGGGTACTCACGTACACGGATGTTAGGTAGTAAGACTAATGGGTACTCACGTACACGGGTCTTGAGTAGTAAGACTAGCGTGTACACACGTACACGGGTCTTAAGTAGTAAGGCTAACGTGTACACACGTACACGGGTCTTACGTGGTAAGATTACCGTTTACACACGTTCACGGGTCTTAAGTAGTAAGACTAACGGGTACTCACGTACACGGGTCTTAAGTAGTAAGACTACTCCAAATGTAAAACGTCACCACCGATCAGAGTACTCAGTATACGGACAAGAAGAAAAGAAGTGTATATTGGCGAGCCAGCAAACCAAACACGTGTCTATGTGCAAACTCGTTCGTTAGATGTCACATCCACAAAAGGCAGGAGATTAGAAGGTCATTCGAAAGTCCGAGAAAGGAAAACCGCATGTATGTATGTAGACAGTTATGTAGACACGGGATGTAGGTATGTTATCAGTTATGTAGACACTGTATGAAAGTATGTAATCACTTATGTAGACACTGGATGTGACCACGTAGTACAAAGGATCGCGTATGGTAGATATGGTGTGTGGTGTGTATGGACATACCTCGAACTTGGGCTTTCTCGAAGGCATGTAGGAGAGCAGCAAACGACCTGGACTTTCGCGGTCCGGACTGTCAAAGAATGGGACAGGGGCAGTGTGAAAATCACCACCCGAATAAAAACTTTTTGGAGGGGTTTGTCCGCTTCTGTGGCAATTCCAAATATAAAGTGCACGTGGCCATATACAAACACACCCTTTGTCCTAAGGTAGAGAACATGCCGCGATAGTGCGCACAAACCACGCATGGTTGGATGTACATCAGTGCACAAACCACTAAACCCTAAACTCACAGCCCACACGTGATAGGGGCACACACCACAATAAACCAACCCACTGATTTGAGTATCACTAGATGTACACTACATACAGAAAAATATGTCCCTCGATCTAGGGAAGCACAGTAGCAAGTACCTGCGCACAAGAAGCTGTGCTGGATGCACATTATACATACACACTTATAGTTCGCCCACCCTACCTGAAGAAGCATTTACACTTACACACTTATACTTGCATTTACACATACACACTTATACTTGCATTTACACATACACGCTGATACTTGCATTTACACATACACACTTATACTTGCATTTACACATACACACTTATACTTGCATATACACACACACACTTCTACTTGCATTTACACATACACACTTCTACTTGCGCTTACACATACACACGTATACTTGCATTTACACATACACACTTATACTTGCATTTACACATACACACTTATATTTCTCCCACCCTACCTGAAGAAGTATGGAATACGCTTTGGCTCGGCTGCCTTTGCCGCAGACAACACGGCAAACATCTCTTCTTGACTGGCAGGCTGAGGTATATGGATTAATGGGAATTAATGCTCGCACTAATTCAAGTATTAATGGGGATTAATGCTCGCACTAATTCAAGTATTAATGGGGATCAATACTAGACTTAATTCAAGTATTAATGGGGACAAATACTAGCACTAATTCAAGTTTTAATGGGGATTAATGCTAGCACTAATTCAAGTATGTGGGTAATGTAGGCAGAGAACATACAGGCGAAGTGTATATCTGTATGGCTGATGAGGATAGTGGCCATGTGCGAATTGAGTGGTTGAAGGCTCTGGTTGCAACACTGGTTTAGAACAGAACAGCACTGTACATCAAATGAAAAGAGACTAACAGTGTAAATATATATACACGCATAAAAATGGTTCTATCTAAAACTTCAGTGTGCGTATGCATTTGTATTTTCACAAGTACATAAAACATGCATACGTACATGTGTAGATATGTCTATACCATTGTGTCTTGTGTATGGTACATGGGCTACATCTATATATGTATGGATGTATAACACGTGTATGGTGCATGGGATACATCTATACATGTATGGATGTATAATACCACTGCGTACATCAGTGTGTAATACATATCAGTGCATAAATATACACAAATGACTCTACTCTAGTGTTTCGCAGGGTTATAGTTGTAGGTGTACATGCACGTACTCTTCAGTAATGTACAACGCATCGGATCATATATACGTGCACAGACACGTACGTATCCACTAATGCACACCATAAATATAGTACAATAGTTCATTATTGAGTGTATAGGCAGACATGCTGTATGGATGTGCAAGCACCTGATGGTATATATCTGCATCTACAAACGCAGTCGTGTGTGTATACCTACAACCATCAACCCGTTGTGTTTTCTAGTTAGCTGTACACGCATTTACCTACATCCAGATCTTTCCAATCGACTCGCACGCTCACATTGTTGTCATGAACAAATACGCACACACACACACACGCACACAAAGCGTTCAACGGAAAGCTCTGGGTGTCTAACTCACCTCGTGGTAGTTCTTAGTGGACTTCACACGCTCCAGTAAATCCGCCAGAGGAAAAACGTATCGAGAAATGATCTCATCCTGAAACAAGAACACAAATCCGCACAGGAAAATTGAGTTAATCGAGTGGATTGCGTGCAAAAGTAGGTAAAGAAAACCAATACAATCTGAAATTCAGTAGGTAAAAAAAGACAATACAATCTGAATGTCAGTAGGTAAAAAAAGACATTTCAATCTGAAAGTCAGTAGGTGAAACTAGACAATACAATCTGAAAGTCAGAAGGTAAAACAAGACAATACAATCTGAAAGTCAGCAGGTAAAACAAGACACTACAATTTGAAAGTCAGTAGGTAAAACAAGACAATACAATCTGAAAGTCAGTAGGTAAAGAAAGACACAACAATCTGAAAGTCAGTAGG